AAGGAAAAAAAAAAAAGAGTGAGGGCCTGAGGAGGCGGGGGGTCTGGGACCGAGGCGGGCCGCTGCGCATGGAGCAGAGGACAAAGGACGGGGTGCGCCGATGTGGGGGTGCGGATGCCTTTGGGGGCAATGCGGGTGTGAACCCGATACTGTCGTGAGGATTCAGTAAAAGTCTGACAAGTTAAGAAGCCGGAGAACATTCCGTGCCTTTGTAAAATACTAGAATGAGTTACTCTGGAAAGAGACGCGAGGCAGCCTTTTGTGGCCCGCCGAGCTGCACGGTCTATTATTTACGATTTGTTGGGACGTGAGTGACTGTGCATGTGTGTGGGGCACAGCCTTGAATATCTGTGGCCGTGTGCAGCATGCGATGCTCCGACCAGGATAACGGGCGCACTCGGCGTGACACGACGTCATCGTTTTGGGTGGCCCTTTACCGTCCCTCCCTTAGCCGTCTCCCCTCCCCCTCTCCCACCTCTGCTAACCTCGTCCTGTTCTCTCCTTTGCAAAGTATTATTGGGATCCTCGTGTCTTTCCTTCTTTCTTTTTAAATTTATTTCCCAGCTCCTGCTTATGAGTGAGGGCACGTGGCGTTTCTCTTTCTGCTGCACGTTCTATTTCATCCACTTCTACCAGCCTTTAACGTCATTATCTACTTGTACAGACCCACGGTCCCTTACCCAGAATGTAAAGAATCCGGATCGTCCTAATAAGCATGGCTTTCCCGAGTTTGGTTCCCGTTTGGTGGCAAAACCTTCCTCATGTGTGACGTGAGGCCGTCATAGCTGTTCTCTCTTTCTGCTGCACGTTCTATTTCATCCACTTCTACCGGCCTTTAACGTCATTATCTACTTGTACAGACCCACAGTCCCTTACCCAGAATGTAAAGAATCCGGATCGTCCTAATAAGCATGGCTTTCCCAAGTTCGGTTCCCGTTTGGTGGCAAAACCTTCCTCATGTGCGACGTGAGGCCGTCATAGCTGTTGTGCCTCCAATTTGTCTGCATTATCGTGTTTCCCCAAGAAATGTCAACGTGCGCCCCCAGGATCCTGCCCCAGAAGCTGCTGAGGGGGCTTGTCTTTTACACTGTACATGCCCTACTTCCAAAATTTGGAAAGGGACGAATTCTGAAAGTTGCTTGGCCCCAGTGGCGTGAGATGAGACTGTGAACCTGCGTGTGTCACGCTCCTACCTGATGTCAGCCACTGAGCGCTTTGTCTCTCTCCCTGGGCTGCTGCTCCCTCACCGTATGTGTTCAGTGACTGCGAGGTTCATGAGAGAAGCGTCCTATGTCACTGACAGCGCATGGCATGCTCGTTCCTGCTCTGGTGTTGGGGCCTGCGTGGTGGCCGCGTTCCTGCATGGCTGCTGCCTTGTGCATTCCCTTTGCATCACGGGCGACTCCTCTTAGTGGCTTGTGCTGCTTCCTCCAGGCACCTTGGCTGGGGTCATCGATCTTGCCGTCGACTGGATGACAGACCTGAAGGAAGGTGTCTGCCTGTCTGCCTTCTGGTACAACCACGAGCAGTGCTGCTGGACTTCCAATGAAACCACTTTTGAGGACAGAGACAAGTGTCCACAGTGGCAGAAATGGTCGGAGCTGCTGGTGAATCAGTCGGAGGTGGGTGCCTGGGCAGGGTCCTCCTGGGGACTCCCGCCAATCCACATGCCTTTGGAACCCTGCGGGGTGATTCGTGAGTGTCATTTCACCTTCAAGTGTCTATTGTGATGATAGTCCATGGCTTAATACTAGTGTGACTTGCTTTTCTCTAGCTCTAATGCAGCCACCCAGACTTCACTTGGAAAACCCTTCCTCACTGTGTCATGTGCTATACACATGGATATTTAAAAGCCTTGTATTTGGCTTTATTTTTCTAACTGAAGGTAGTTTGTTGATCATGCTGAAGAAATAGCGTTAATTTTTATAACTTTTAATTGAGGAGAAAATATGAATTATCTTTTTTTAGACTAAGAGCTTTAGTGAGATATAATTCTCATTCCATATTTAAAGTGTACAATTAACCATCATCACAATCTAACTTTAGAACATTTTCATCAACCCCCAAGAAGCCCTGTACCCATTAGCAGTCACTCCCATGACCCCTCAACCCACTACCCCTGGCAACCGCTCTATTTTCTGTCTCTATAGATTTGTCTATTCTGGAGATTTCATGTAAATGGAATCATATAATGTGTGGCTCTTTCACTTAGCACAATGTTTTCCAAGTTCCTTCATGTTGTAGCATGAATTAAAACTTCATTCCTTTTTATGGCTGAATAATATTCCACTGCATGGATATACCACTTTTTAAATTTTAAAATTTAATTGTTCACATTTGTGGGGGGATATACCACATTTTATGTATCACTTTATCAGGTGATGAACATGGGTTGCTTCCACCTTTTTGCTATTATGAATGACATTGCTATGAACATTTGTGGACATGTTTCATTTCTCTTGAGTGTATACCCAGGAGTGGAATTGCTGGGTCAGATGGCAACTCTGTGTTTGACCTTTTTGAGGAGCTGCCAGACTGTTTTCCACAGTGGCTGCACCATTTTCCCTTCCCACAAGCAGTGCATGAGGGTTCCCATTTGCTCTCCTTCTTGCTAACACTTATTATTATCTGCTTTTGATGTTAGCCATGCTAGTGGGTATGAAGTGGTACCTTATTGTGCTTTCAGTTATCTTCCACTACATTTTATGAGCACATTACAGAGGATGTTCCGGGCCTTCTGTGAAGAGAATGTCCCAGGCACAGGGGATGTGGTGGTGAACCACAGACCTAGTGTTTGCCTTCAAGGCACCTAGAGCTTCACATCTTTATAAAAATCTTAGCTCAGGAAAATGTTAACTTTTAACCAAATTCAGTGGTTACCACAATGACTGGATCCTCGAAGGATCAGAAAGCCAGGTGAGAGGAGCTCGGAGCCAAGCTTCACATTAGGGGTGATGTGAGGACCGTTCAAGCTAGAACTGTTCTTGGAAGGTGCATGTAATCTGTTTATACGTCTCCTCCCTGCCCCGCTCTTTTTTCCCTGACCAACTTACCACAGCTGAAGACATTTGGAACTAAAAGACATTGGAACTTTGCCATTTTGCTAAACCCCTTTCTCAGTGGAATTGAAAATGAATTTCTTCAAATCTCAGAAGTAGACAGAGATCTTGAAATCTCACACATTCTCAGTGCTCCCTGTCACTTCCAAAAAGAAACTCTCTACTTGGGCCGATGGGCGTGGGCAGGCGGAGGTGGCTGGGCGCCGTATTTTATTTCTTCTCTCCTACTTGCAATATGTGTTTTGGGGAAATATGGCCATCCATCTTTTCAACTACTTTTAATATTTATACTTTGGTTCAAAGAATCACTGTTAGTAGGAGTGAGAAGGTATTTTTAGCCTCCAAAAAAGTACATATTTAAGTGGGTGAAAGATATTCCTCTGTCCGATTTCTCACCACATAGGGTGTGAATATATGTGCTTGTAAAGGCCAGAGCAGTCTTCTGCAACATGTTTTGCATTTAATAGGAACACATGTGGCTGTGTCCATGGCCTGACTTGTAGGTGACCTCTCTTTCCTTCCGCCCTCACTTGAGTCATCCAGATGGTAGCAAGAAGCTGAGGCCTAAAGAAATGTGGACTCCACTCAGCAGACCAGGTCCTCAACCGAAAAGACCCCAGACTATGTGTTTGGTCCAGAAAAATGCTCCCCACATACCAGATAATTTGGAATCAGTGAAGTATTCTGAGGGAGATGATCAAGTTTTCCCCTCAAGTAGTGCCTCTCTAATGGGACTTGAGACTCTGCATTTCTGGGCCAGGCAGCTCAGCTGAGTAGCAGCATTCCAGACCACAGCTCCCAGCCTTGCTCATCGCCAGTGCGGTTGCTTGCTGGGGTGTGAGTGTGGCCTCGATGAAAGCTAGGAGAGCCTTCCAGGCTCTGAAGACAGAACTTTCTGCATCACACCGTTCATTAGCTCTAGTGAAAGTGGTGATTAAAATCGAGCATCATTCACGGTTTCTGTTGCCTCTGAGACGTGAGCTGGTGGAAGGTGCATGTGAACAGCTCCTGGAGGAATACGGGTGCTGTGTCGTGTGTACCCATTGCAGCGATGGCGACTCTGGCCTTTTTGTTTTTACGAGACAGGGACTGGGCCTGCCCGATCCCATCAAAGCGTCTGCTCTCCCGACAGAGGGGTGGCTTTGGTATGTTGCTCAGGTTTGCCATGGCTCATGTCCTCTTCCTTTGTGTCTGTTTAGGGTGCCAGTGCTTACATTCTGAATTACTTAATGTACATCCTGTGGGCGTTGCTGTTTGCGTTTCTGGCCGTCTCCTTGGTGCGTGTGTTTGCGCCATATGCCTGTGGCTCTGGCATACCCGAGGTGAGTCGTGGCTGAACTTCTTTTGTACCAATAATAAGAATAGCAAACACTTCCGTAGCACTGTTGTGCCAAGCACAGTTCCGAGCATGGACTCATTGTACTAACTCATTTCCTCCTCACAGTAGACTATGAGGCAGGTGCTATTATTGTGCATTTGGGAGTTGAAGAAACTAGCACAGAGAGGTTAAGGAAGTTGCCCAAGGCCACCAAGCTGGTCAACTGTGAGTTCAGGATTCATACTCTGTATCCAAGTTTTTTGCTTTATCGCTTCTGAGATGATTAAACCATTGTTGTAGTAAACCAGGGATAACTCTTAAGGCCTGTGGAATGAGAGTTCATTAACCACACACATAAATTGGCGCCTATGATATACTGTGAAAAAAGGGCGATAGCGGAGGTTTGTTGCTGAGAAAGTTCACTGATGACTAAACTCCCTTCCCACATTCTGCTCTTCTGATGACCAGGTAACAGCAATCTTTACAAAACTTAATTTCACTTTCACCGCCTGCACTGTGAATTTACCCTTGTGAATTTAGCATTCTTATAAATAGTTTTCAGCACTTTCATGTAACCAAAGGATGAGGGAAGTGACCTCATTGATCAAGGGGAATGCCTGAGACTGAACTTGAAACCTACAAGGATCTACTGGGCAGAATAATGATAATTGAGCCGATTCGCAAAGAGCCCAGACAGTGAAAATTTTAGCCAGAAATAATTTTAAAAATTCTTGTATTATCCCTCGAATCAATGCAATTCATTCTTCAGTTGGTGCTGCAGCAAGGCCCACATGCGGTAGAGATGGTGAGTTTGAAGATGTAGTTGTGCACCAGTTGTGGCGACACGTCCCCGCCCTTGGGCGGTGCCCTCCACCAGTGACGTTGGTCCAGGCAGTTACAGGGTGGGCTGAGTCACTGAAAGATGGTCAAAAGAAATTCAATATTGTCTTATTTCAGGAAAGATAGGGAAAAAAATCTTAATATGTCATGCCGAATTTTTGATGGTTTATATTAACAAGTTGCTTCAGGAACCTGAAAAACAAGCTGTATTACCATCCTATTTTCTCAATACAGCCAGTTCTGCTGTAGTGCGACATATACTTTCCTAAACATCGCCATGCCATGCAAAATCAGACAATTTAAAAACAAGGGCTTATGGAGAAAATGGGTTAGGAACACAATACTCAAAAACTTCATCAGTGATACATATAAAAGAGATAGGCTAGTAAAAACAGCAGCACAGCTTTACACATTAAATGGCCAAGAAATATGTCAATACTACAATAAGTATGTTTCTTCTTGAGAAAACTTGAAGTGGGCTGTGGAAGTGGCGTCAGAAGGGCTGCAGCTTGTGAGTTACTGTGAAGGGGCTGCAGGAGGGTTATCTGGACCTGGAGGGGAAGCTGTGACAGCGGCGTGCACGGGTGTGGCTCCCCAGCACACGTGTGAACTGGTTGACGTTTGAGGCACGTGCGTATGTATGTTTTGTGTTTTCCTACATAGCTCGGTTCAGCTGGGTACAGTGTTCCGCATTCACCTGGTATTTCTCCCAGAGCAAATTGTGCATGAACAGACATGAAATTTGTGTTATGCTCAAGTTCTTCCCTAATGTATAGATACCATTGGAACAAATGTGCATTTTCTAAGCAAGTATTATAGCAGCACTGACTGTATTTTCTCTGACGTCTAAAGCCTAAGGCACCCTGGCATCTTAGTTTATGATCCCACAACCCGACGATAGGTGTTGTTGACTCAAGTATTTCCAAAATAAGGAGATGGCCAGTGGGGAATTGGTGGAAAATAGAAAGCAGAAATGAAAGGCATGAGGGGCTGTCCCATCTTCCTCTTCCAGGAACCAGAGGTGTGAGGCTCAGCTTGTGATCTCACAGACAGACCTGCAGCTCGAGCATGAGCTCTGTCTTTGAGGGCTGGCTGGACTCGGTCTTCACTTGAAGTGGGCATCTTTAGTGGTGACAGCTGGACTCAAAGACGTGAACTACCCAGAGGAGCATTGAAATTTCTTCTATAACAAAAGTACCAGGAACACATCCATGTGGATGAAACTGAAAAATGTGATGTCAAGTGAAAAACTAAGTTGCAGAAGAATATATAAAGGATGCTTCTCTCTATAATAAAGTCCATGAACAGCCAAAATGAAACAATGTATGTGCTAAAACTGTAAAGAAAGGCAAAGAAATGATCGGAAGTGGTGAAGGAAGGAGGACGTTTCTACTGGGGAGTGAGCACAGGGCTGTCACAGGGACCCGCTCTTCTGTTCCTTCAACTTGGGAGTGGGTACATAGTGCTTGCTTTAGTAATTTCTTTTAACCATATGTTAGTATGGATGGAATAGGTTCAACTCTCCATTTAGAAAAGAGTTTATAACAATGTTTTAAAGTATCAGGAACCAAATAACCTAAGTTTAGTTATTATGACTCAGCAGAGCTTGAAATTCTTAACCTAAGAAGCCAGTACCTATCCCAGTTCTTGGAGGAAAAGCGCAGAGTAAAAAGGAAAACAAGTAAATAAAAGTAAATTCAAGTAAATAAAAGTAAATTTTTAAAAAAGTAAATAGAAGTAAATTTTGATAAAAGTAAATTTCAGTTCATGGATAAAGAGAAGCTCCTCCTGGTCAAAGCCCTACTAAATATGTGAACCGCCTTCAGTTGAGACATGGAGCTATTCTTTCATTTTAGCAAAGATACTAACCAAACCATTTAAAAACAAATTTCGAATGCAATGCGCCTACATACATTTAAAAAATTGCTCATTCTCATAGCATTTGATTCCAAAACATTTTTATTATTTAAAATGAAGGTTCCTTTGGAAACATTTTTTAAAATGCAAACGTAGAGAAAAATTTTTTATGTGTCATGAATATTCCAAGAAGTGGGGTAGGTGCTGCCTTCTTAGGTATAAGTTCTCTAAGGCACACTTAAAAGTGAACACTCATCATTTCTTGGATTTGGGAATTTAGAGAGAACTGGGTAACAGTCTCTCTTTCTGCTTCTGTTCGCTTTACCAGTAGAACCACTATCAACTATACAAGGACTTCAAGAAGGTCGTGGAAAAATAGACTTAAAATACAAATCTTTCCCTGAACTTTTTGAAGTATCCTCGTATATGAAATCATGTCTTCTCAGAACTTACTCTGAGTTGATGTTTCCGTTCATTACAAGAAATGAACACTCTTACAAATATTTACTTACCAGAAAGTGTTCTGGTTTAAAAGTTAAAATACCTAGTCACAAATCCACTGCAATACATCTTGTGAAAGCCCTGCTTGCTTCAGTCTCAATGAATCCAAGTTAAAGCAAGTCACTGGATTTTGGCATCTATTGGGAATGAATTTGCCCTCTTTAGTCCCTAATTTGATCATGAGAATGTTGTCAAATCATTTTAGAGAATTACAAAATACCTATTACACTGTTCAACTCACCACATGTCATGGCTGGCAAAGGCTCAGGTAATTTAGATGCTTGTAATTTTCTAAGTGGTATTACGCTTTTAACCTGTACCCTGGGGTCCAAATCCACACTAACTAACTGACAAAAAATTATAGGGAATTTTATTCAAGGCAACACAAAAGGGCAGGATTGTGGCAGGCATAATAAAACATCCCTTAAATAAAGGGATCTGAGATCCCCAGAGCACAGGATCAATTAGGCCAACTAGCACCTGTTAAGGCCTGGTTTTGCCACCACTAGTTTGCCATCAGTTAAAGGCTCGTTCAAGAAACACCAGTTGACTGCGCAGCTAGGAGGCCTCTGGCGTGTCCTGTAGGGAGGAGCTCATTGAGTTCTTCAGGAAGACACGCACGACCTGCTCGCGTGGGCTCTTTCCCTCGCCTGCTCCCTCTCCTTGAATTAGGATACGGATCTGTCAGTAGTTCCTGAGATGAAAATGTGTTCTTGTGCACACCCCTTTAACAATCTGAAGATTAGCTGACTTCATGACCCTCCCCAAGTCACCACAGGTGACACGATGCTCAGTAGCAGGAATTCGTGAAAGAACCAAGAGTGTTTCAGGTCCGTCTCTTAAATATTGAGAAATTAGGGCTACCTGTGCTATGTTTTCCCGGAATGGAGCAGTGATTCTCCACCTGGGCTGCATTGTAGACTCACCTGGGGAGGCTGTACAACTCCTCACACCCGGGATGCACCCAGGGCCAATTACATCAGATCTCTCTGGGGAGAGCCAATTCTCAATATTTCCTAATTCCCAGTGATTCTGATGAGCGCTGAGCTTGTGAAGGACTGTAATAGCCATTTGAGAAATTGATTACTTGGCAGAGCAGTGTCCACAAGGAGGCATTTTGAAGTTATGTAAATGGCACTGACAAGCGATAACACTGTCCCGTTATGTATTACACAATGGGAAAACAAATCGCCCACGAACTTCATGGAGTGACTCACTTGGTGTCTAATTAATCTATGATTACAGGCGTGTAAATTGCCAGCTCGGTGGTAAACATTCACTGCATTTTAGCCAATTGTGGGAGAGGTTGGAGGTAGAGGTTATGTAGCCATGG